GGGGAGCCGCCAGCCACGGGCTGTGCCCACACCGACCACCCCGGATGCGGTTCCTCCTGGCACGCACCCACACTCCACGTGGGGCACCCACACCCCACTGCCACCGCAGGGCGAGAGCTGGGCCCCAGCCCTGGGCTCCAAACACACCTCACAGCGCAGTGCCAGGCCCTAACGGTGTCTCTGGAGGGCTGCTGGTGCCCAGAGCCACAGCACCGTGTCCAGCGTCACCCTCAGCCCATGTCATGGCTCATCTTGGGGTGAGCCACTGTACCCACAGCCACACCATGGGGCTGACAGGGCAAATGGGATCTGTGGGACAACAAATGTGGGGGTATGATGGGCCCAATTGCTCCTGGCAGGGCAGGTGACATCAGTGGCTTTTCTCTCCCACCTTTTCCCAGCCACTCACTCCACTACACCTTTTCTTGCTGGCCCTCATGTCACCAGCTCACTTCAAATTCATGACCCCCTCTTTCTTGCTGCAGCAAGATGCCAAGCCTGTGCCATGGTCCCCATGTGCCTGAAGGTGCCATGGAGCTCAGACCAACAGCAAGGGGACAGTCAGAACACATCCCTGGCAGCCACCGGCTCTGGCAATGAGACTGTGGCAGCCCTCTGTCACTCATCCCCGGGCTCAAGGAGGGGTTGCCCTGAGCCCATCAGTGCTGTGGCTGTTCCTTGGCAGCAGAGGGTCCCATGGGCACCATCCAGCAACTTGCTGCTGCCCTGTGGCTCTGGGGAGGACATGAGGACACAGCTCATGCTCTCTCATGCTCCCAGCACTGTGTCTCAGCATCTCCAGGGAGTGTCCCTGCTGTGACTTTCTCCCCAAGACCCGTTATAGGGCCTGCGTTGTGGCACATCAGTCGTGCAGGTGGGCAGGAAGGCCACTTATCTGTGTCAGTAAAGCCAAAGGATGCCTGCAGGGTACTGGGGAGGACTGCTGAAGTCTGCTGACCTGGCTCCCAAATGCAAGGGGAAGGAAGAGGGGAGAACCAAGAGGGCTCCTGGCTTGTCAGACGCATGTAAGGGGGCTGGGGGATGTCACCCACTCCCATCGCTAGCATAGCCCAGGTGCATGGACTGGCCATGGCTCTCTCCTCTGGTCTGCTGTGGGTGTGCAAAGAAGGGATGCTCAACATGGTCCATGCCAGTGAGCCCCATCAGGCATCTGATCAGACCCCTCAGAGTGGGGGAGAGCCATGAGTGGGCAGAGCTTGGGCAGGAGATTCCTAAACACTACATGCCCTCTCCATCAACCCTTGGCCCATGGCCCCGGGCACGGTGCAGAGCTGGTGTGTCCCCCTCTGTTCCAGAGACACCTGCACTTCAGCAGTGGGCGGAAAAGCATCCCCAGGGGAAGATCCGTAGCCACAAGCATCAGCAGGCCAGCCAGATCCCTGGGCACAGCCACCAGCTGGACACAGCCTCAAGGCTCTGCTCAGCACCCTTCTCCCAAGGGGTCTTGGCTTGCCCCATGGCAGCAATGGCAGGGGTTGCTCCTGGGCGTGGGGACGTCCCTGTGCGCTGCTGTGCCCAGGAAAGAAAAGGGCCTGGCAGCACCCAGCACTCGTGACCGTGCCACGAAGGAATGAAGCTGGGGCAGGTGATCGGATAGCATGACCCGGTGCCTCCTGGCTGGCACGCTGGCCCTGCCTGCCCCGGGGCCACAGCACGGCCTGGCAGGGTGACGTGACAAGGGGGATGGGACACACATCCACCCTGCCCTCGCTGGCCCATGGGCTGACACAGAGCATCCATGTTTGCAACAGTCTGTCACCACCTTCTCACATGAGATGGTTTGCTGCCGGGTGCCAGTTTGAAGAGACAAGCACCTAGCGGTGGCTGTGTGATGCCAGGGTCTGCCCCACTCACACACTGCCCTGGGTTTGCTCCATATGTGATATGGATGTGGCTGGCCCAGAAAAGTGCCAGCACCGGGCAAATGGGTGCCAGGATGTTGGCTTGGACTGGCCCGGGGTTCCTCTGCCAGCACAGGGTTAAAACCAGGATGATCATATACAGACAAGGTCTCAAGTGCCCGTGCTCAAAAGCCACCAGAAGGTAACTTTCCAAATGCTCCCACAACCTGCCGTGCCCTTTGGTATGTGACCCTGGTGCGTGTATGCATGTCCCCATGCCAGGCGCTTGTGAAATGGCTGTCACAGCTCTGCAGCCTGTCCCAGACCTCCCCCAGGCAAAAACTGACCCAGAGAGAGCAACAGCACTTGGGTACCTGCCTGGTCTCTGCTCCATCCCCACACAGACCACCTGTCCCCACCTGAGTCCCACTCCCAGCATCTGCCTGGCTTGGTCACTGGGTCTTTCCTTCTCTCTGGTGCTGTGCCAGACCAGGGAGTGACCGAGCCTGTGCTCCAGACGTGGTCAAGGCACCCACACAGGCACCCGCTTGGTGCCAGGGCAGGGGGATGCCACGCAGCCAAGTGGGCACCCATGGCAGCGCTCCTGACCCTTTTGCCGGGGGCAGAGCCCCAGGGAGGGATGTGCAGCCCCCGGGGCCGCTCCGGAAAAAAACTGGGCGGGGGGGGCCGAGGAAACCTGCTGCTGCTGCGAGCAAACAGAGGGCAGGCAAATGGCAGCGAAGAAAACACCCCGCGAAGCTGGTGTGGGTGAAACTCTGGGCACCGGCAGGGCAAGGGCTCTGACAATGATTAAACTGGCCAACCCAGATTTCCCGGCAAGGCAGTGCTGGGCTGGGACCCAGTGGTTCATATTATGCAAATCACCTGGATCTGGGAGCATGAACGTTTCGGGCTGGAATTCCCCTCGGGCCGCCAGATCGCGTTACCCGCCCCGCGCTATAAAAGAGGAGACACAGGCAGGGCTTGCCCATCGGCACCAGCCTCCCCGGGCCCATGAGCAGCGGCTAGCAGCCGGGCTGCTCCGTCGCCTCTCGCTGCTCTCTGGATTAGCTGGATTAGCCCTTCCCAGGATTGCCATCGCAGAAGGTACCAAAGCTTTTTCGTCCGGGGCCTGCTGATGTCCTCCCCAGCCCAGGATGGCTGCTTTGCTCCCCTCCCCATGCATCTTCACTCTCACTGGGGGATGTGCTTGGTCTTTTCTTGCTGCACGGCTGTTCTCCCATCACGGCTACCAGCCCTTTTGGGGGGCCAATGAGACGGTGGTCTGGAGGGCCCCCCCC